AAATTTATAAACACTGCTTTTTAAAGCCTAACTCTGGAACAATGACTTTCAGCCATAACCTATCAAAATAGAGGCCTAATTTCAATTTCATACCCCCACTGTTTGGGAGCAACGCGATTTCTCTGCTCAGGGTCTATTCCATTTTTTCTCTTCCAACTTGAAAATATTTAATCTTCTATAGGAACAAGTTTAAGTTTCTTCATCTCTAAATACGCTAAGGCAAACACTATTAGATCCATCAGCCTCTGATACATTTAGGGAGTAGGACTCATGGTAGCCGTGCAGTTGGATCCTGTTACTACTTTTGAGTTTATTATTATATTCAAGTAAAGTAACTTTTCTTCTTTAGAGGTTTTGGAAAACAAATTGCAACTTTCCAGAGTAAGTCACAAAGACGTCCAAGTGAAATCTAAATACAAATGATTTATTACTCGGCAATGGAGATTAAAATTTAAAAAAATTTTAATTTAAAATTAAAAGCAAAATTGGATAGCTTCATTGAGATTATCTTAGTTCATGCTAGAACATTCACTTCTTTTTCTTCAATTTAAATTTTTTTTAGATTTTATTAATTCATTTTTAAAGAGAGGAAGGGAGGGAGAAAGAGGGAGACAAACATCAATGTGTGGTTGTCTATCGAGTGCCCCCCCCCACTGGGGGCCTGGCCTGCAATCGGGGCGTGTGCCCTGACTGAGAATTGAACTAGCGACCCTTTGGTTCGCAGTCCAGCACTGATCCACACCAGCCAGGACAACTTCTTTTTTGATTATCCAAATAAAGTGCCAATTTTGTTAATATGACCATAAATTCAACTACTATTTCCCATAAACTCTTACTTTTCGTCAATTTACTATAAATGATAAAGTCTAAAAATAAAAGTTGTGATTAAGGGGGGAAAGGTACAGTGAATAAGTAGCATAGACGGTAGATAGAAAATAGACGGGGGAGGGCAAGAGTGGTGTGGGAAATGCAGAAGTTAAAGAACTTACGACACATGGACATGAACTAAAGGGGGGAATGTGGGTGGGAGGGGGTGTGCAGGGTGGAGGGGAATGAAGGGGGGAAATGGGACAACTGTAATGGCATAATCAATACAATATATATTTTAAGTTATAATTAAGTATTTTACCAAAATATTTAATTCTGTAAACAATGTCCCTACACAGTGTGGTTCCCCCTTAGCTGCAGTTTCCCTTTCCACGGCTTCAGTTTTCCTGGTTCAGCCACAGTCAAAAAGGAGTAAATGGAAAATTCCAGATATTTTGAGAGAGACCATATTTACATAACTTTTACTACAGTATATTGTAATTGTTCTATTTTATTATTAGTTATTGTTAATCCCCTACTGTGCCTAATTTATATAATAATTTTATCATAAGTATGTATGTATAGGAAAAACTAGTATATATAGGGTTTGGTAGTATATCCACTCATGTTTCGGGCATATAAGGGTGGTTTTGGAACATATTCTCCCATAGTCAAGGAGAGACTGCTATGCTTGTTCTGGGTTTTTTTTTCCCCTCAAACATGTTCATTTATACACCTGAGAAAGAGTTAAATTAAACATCCATGAATATAGCAGAGTACATTAAGCTATAAATATAGGCATTTTATTTTATTGACATGTCAAACTGAAAATTAAGTATTTCACTATTTTCATGGATGGGTGGGCATTAACAAGTTCTTACATTGTAGGTAGCAATATAGACACTAAATTATATGCTGATAAAGTTTAAGAAGTAAAAAACAGGCACAAAACCACAGTGCTCACAAGTACAGTGCTGGGATTCAAATTCAAGGCTGATGGTTTCTGCAACATAGAAAGTATGCCATTAACAAGGGTTGAATCAATGAATAAATGGCTCCTAAATCTACCCTTTAAACTCTTAAGGAAGTTGTTGCGGCCACTGGGGAAAAAAGTTTGTACATCATAAATGTATTTTTGTCTCTCAACTGTTATTTCCAAGAAGGGAGCCCAATTCTGCAAATATAACTGGTAACTTCTCAAAAAGACGAACTGGAGTGGAACTCAAAAAGCAGCGGTCCTGAGTATAAATATATACTAGAATGAAAATAAATAAATTTGCTGATTGTTCATCTCTGAGAAAATGACTCAGCTTTACCCATGACAAAATATCACCTCTCCCTTCAAAAATTAAATTTTATGGTTTAATTGAGGCTTTAGCTATGATTAAAAGGCAAGAGCAATAATTTTTATAAATTAAACAAGATATTCTCACATTATATGTGTTCTGGACATAAACATTACTATTTTAGCTCTATAATCTCAAGTGAATCAAAACTGAGTCAGAAACCCTCTGACCTTTGTGTCTAAAAATCTATTAACATAATTTCTTCTCTTTAATGCTCATACTTAGCTTGTAATTATGTAAAGGAAAGTTTCTTTACAAGTGGAAAACTGAAATCAGAGTCAAGGAAACACTTGGCCAAGGGTGATGCATCAAGTCAATCTCAGAGAGCAGCCTGACACTCACAATCTCACACTCATCAATCCAGTGGAAATACAAGCCCCATTAGTATTTTTTAACCATTATCCTGCCCTAAACACACAATAGTGGACTTATGTCCCAAGGAAAAAAATAGGCAATAAACAATTTTCATACAGATAAGAAGGCTCTGAATTTCAGGGAAGGCTCTGAGCTCCTGGCTGCTCAGAAACTCACCAGCAGCAGGGTCCTTATTATCAGGCAAATGTGTGACAATGCTAAGATCACACAAATTCTACTCTTTCAGGTGAAAGAGTAAGAACTATTTAAAAGGATAACTTTTGAGAAACACAAGAAAGACATGCTGGACATGTTTTTCACTTTAAGTCCATGACCCAAATCTGTGCCATTTAAGAATACCTAATTGAATTATTCAATTTAGGTGGAAAATCATCTGCTCAAAGCCCAAGTCTTTGATTCTTACTGGCTATGGAAACAAAGAAGGTCAAGGTCAAGGGACTGAAGTTTCAGCAAGCCTAGTCCAAACTAAGGAGACAAATAGCAACAAATAGCAAGTGTGGGCATCTGAAAAGTAAATCAGCACAGGCAGCATCAGGCCCTCAGCTTTCCACTGCAAAACTGGTGAGGAATGACCATACTTTATTAGAGCACCTCTTTCGCTCTACTATGTCATATCCGACTGCACTTGATGTTTAGTTTACTTTTTTGCTGAGAGGGCTGATCTTAGTCACCAAAACCATTTTCATTTCAAAAGACACCCCTTGTTTTAAACCAAGTACAACCAAGAGCTCCTTTCCAATTGTCCCCTGCAACTTCCCCTGTCTTTCATGCCTGGCTACTGAGCTCAGTCTAGTTTGGCTGCCGGCCAGGTTCCTCTCTTCTTTCCTTGTCACTCGTAAAAACTTGGAAAACACTCCTGGACAGCTCAAGGAGACCTTTTAATTATGCACTGGGGCAGTACCTTAGCTTTATGGGGTGTTTCCAGCAAGGCTCGTAGTCGCCAGAGACTGCACTCTCCCAACTGGTAGGTTTTCTAGCAAGGCTACTTGTTTTCCTGGGGGATGGAGGGGAAGAGTGGCAGAGAAAGGGGGCATCTGCAACCTTGAAAAATTTCCAACTCCTCTCAGAGTTTCTGACCTCCCAATACTCATTGATTACCACTCCTTTAGTACCTAATCACCCATTTGGCATCACAGACACAAAATTATCAGTATAGCCGATTTGCCTGCTAATCCTAGAAATTAACAAGTGGTGTCATAACCAGAACACTTTCCAAGAAACGTTTATTCTCAAGTGTTGCTGCAACATTTTTTAAAAGCAGGTACCCACATAAATTTATTAAATCCTTCCTAATCGATTGACCTATACTTTGTCAAGCTTGCAGAGAGAAACATAGCATATAAATGTCTGGTTCAAGTGAAAGTAAGCCAAGCTCAGTTAGGAAAAACTGCAGGACCCAGGAAGGGGTACCTTGACCGCCAGCCTGCATATACTCGGGGTTTGTCCAAAGTACTAGGTGGACTAGCCAAGCTCAACACCAGCTACATCTTTCCTTACTCTACGCTGGTGCGCTAGTTACAGCTGCAGCGTCCAGCTTCCTGTTCCAAGTCCCATTCAACATCGTAAACACATTCCAAGAAAATCAGCCAGCCTGGAGTTCCCTCCCGCACTCAGGGAAGTCAGCGCGGAGGCCACAGGAGCCACGGAGAAGAATCGATCGCACTGGTTTCTGATCTGTGTAGTGAGTCAGCCCCTGGGGAGAGGACCTGGACAAACTAACTGGGCTTCGGGACCGAAAACCCAGGGTTTCATCACCCTGCCGCGCGGTGCGCCCCTCTAACACAACGCTAGCCAAAAGGAGCTATTTGACCCACCCATCCAAAGGGTACAATGAGGGCGCCGCCCCTGAGTTTGGGCCCACCCATCCCCGGGCTTTAAAGAATCCTCGGCCGCGCCTCGGAGCTCCGCGCCTCCCGGGCCCCAAGCCCACGCTCCCGGGGCCAACAAAAGGGAGCTTACACTGGAAGAAGTTTCCCTCCAGGGTGGTATCGCTGTGACCGGGCGATGACTTGCCTGCTCCGTCCCGTCCCGTGCACGCACCCTTAACGATACTGATCCACCGGCGCCAGCCGCCCCACTCTAGCTGTTGCCCACCGGCCCTGCCAGCCCAACCAAAGTTACCACAAAGGGCTAGAGCAGGCTCCAGGAGTCAGGAGACTGCTGGGTCCCCCTGACCTCGTGAGGCTCCGCCGTCCTCCTTGAAGCACTGCCATTGCAGTCTTCAACAGGTCTTAGCCTCCTTTCCGGCCGAACGACACCCAGAGCCTTTCACTGTCCTTATTTTTGCAACCTGCCCCGCGGCAGCGGCGGCGGCGCGCAGCTCCGCGCCTTCCCTCCCCCGCGCCCGCGGCTGTAGCAGACCACCACTCGCCACCTCTCGTGATGTCAGTTTCAAAGGGATTGCACCCTGCCCGGCTGGAGGCTGAGCTGGCAGCCAGGGAAGACCCGAGATAAACCGCGGTCTCTCCATACCTTAGTGACTGATGCGACCGGGTCAGCTTGGGGCAGGGGCGTGGAGAGCTGCTGCCGCCTCGGATCTCCGCTCCAGCACAGTGGCGCTGACGTTTCCGTGGCCGAGAGGGAAAGTTTCCGTACGCAAATGCAGTGCCGGACTTGGGACCCTCCTGCTCAGGTCCCCTCCCTCTTTGCGCTCTCTACCCTCTCCCTCCTCTTCCTAATAGCCTGAAGCCAAAACTGGCGCTGGTTGTGGCTGGGGCTGGGACTGGAGGCTCGGGACTCCGGGTCACTCCGGACTGGGAAGCGGGGCTCCCCCTCTCGGCCAAAAGGGAACTCTTCCAGACTCCGGCTAGAGCACTTCTGGCGGTCTCCTAGGACACTTCCACGCCGGACGCCAAGGTTCAAGCTCGCGGATTTTCCTCAATCTCTGATGGTCGCTTCCTATGGGCCTGCAGGGCTATCTGGCGTTTGCACCTTGGACCGAAGGGGCGAGGAGTGGAATGTGAGAGAAACCCGACTGCAGAAGGCGAGACCTTACCTTACTCTGCTTATGCCCGGACAGAAGCAGAAACACTATTCCCCTCCCCACCCCCAGCCATGCTCCGTATTCCCCGCCGAGTTTCCTTTTGAATCTCCTCTCCGGAGCTCTAGATCTGGATGATTCGCCCTTCCTTACCTCTGTGTCTTTCCAAACACAATTTAAAAACACCTCTGCTGCTTAATACGAAAGTGTCGAAAGAAGTACAGGAATACAATTAGAACATGCCCTTTTTACAGTCTTTATCAAGAAAGCATTAACACAGTTGTTACCGTAGCTCTGAGGGCTCTCCTACAGACTTTTTTCCTTTATTTTTTTTCTCATGTCTTTTAACTCAGCCTGAATCTCTGCGATTTTTTGTGTGTGCCTAAAAAAAAAAAAAAAAAAAAGACAGAAAGAAAAGAAAAGTCCCTGAACCACCAGATCATGCTCATTTGCTCCATTCGGATGTTTACCTTAGAATTCTGGATTTCTGTATAAGGCTCAAAAAAACAACAAACCATTCTTACCTTTGTAAACCTCTGTGTGGAAAGAAGGGCAAGGAGTAGCCTCATATAAGCCATTCTTGGATGATGAGAGGAACTTTACTAAATTTTTTTGAGATACTGCTCAGAATTTAGTTCACTAAAATTTAAATTGAATGTGAAAATGCATAGATAATGGGAAAAAGGATTTTACAAGGCTAGCAAATATAATGTATTACAGTAGAATCCAAGGTTTAGAATCAGACAAGCCGGCTTACTTTCCAGACTCCAAACTTAGCCATCCCGCACCCTAGGACACTCAGTGCAATTACAACTCCCAAAAAGAATTATATAATGGCATTCACAGAGTCACCTGGAACAGTGGCAAGCACAGAGAAGGTACTCAGTAAATATTTGGTTCTTACGTGCCACTATCTTTGACTGTAATTAGAAGAAAATGGTACTGGAAATTTCCCCCAAGACCTTATCAACTAAATTGATTTTTCTTCTCCCTGATACTTTTTTCCATTAAAAAAAAATGCAGCATCACAATTTTTGAAATGGAAACGAAGTTTAGGGATAACCTAGCTGTAACCAAACTTATTTTAAATACAAGGCAACTGAATTCCAAGAATCTTACTTAATTTTCCCAGATCTCATGGTTAGGAGTGCTAAAGCCAGGACCAGAAATCAGGCATCTTCATACTTGGACAGAGTCCTCTCTTAACTATGTTCTTTTCCCTTTATCACAGCAGTTAAGCACATAATAAAAATAATTACATTGAAAACATTAATGAGGACAGTGCTAGTTGTTCTTTCTGTGGGTAACATTTGATAATGGAGAAAATGAAATGTAATAGGCCATGCTAAGACAATCACTTAAAATAGGGTGTGAGGGCTTGTTAAGGAAGTGCAGCCTGTGCACAACTTGTGCCTCAGTTCCTAGAGCTACTATTAAGTTTCTAAGCCTGTTGCTAAACTCAGTTCAAGGCCCAGCCATAAATACCCCAGAGCAACCACCACTGAATGGGCACAGATGGACTTTACTTTTTTCCTTGTAGTTTTCACCTCCCCCCTTTGCATGTTAGAACTAAACAATCCCTGATAACCTAGTCAGCAATTGGTCATTAGCATAAGAGAATTACCTTTACTGGTTTTTGCTGTATACACAGTGCTTTTTTTTTGTTCTCTCCAGGGACCAGTTTGGGTTCCTGTCTTAATCTGTATGTCCTTTGTTCTTTATTACAGCTTGACCCTCTTCTTTGGTTAACACCTTTAAACAATTTACAAAAGCTACTAAAAGAATAAATGATGCCATTTAGGTGACTACTTGGTATCAGTGTGATTATAAAATAAATCATGGCCCAATATTCAAGAATAAGGAATGATTACATTATATAATTATAAGTATATGGGTTTTTAACACAACACTTTAAAAAGTTCTGATAGACTCCACCCTTCTCCATGAAAACATAAATAAATAAAATTTAAAATTCTGATAGCAAGCTCTAGACCCCCAAGAGTACATCAGTGAAACAGTGGTAACTGCAGATCCTACTTTGAGACACACCAGATCGGTCTTCGATATACTATATGCCAACTTGAAAAAATTCAGAGCATACGAATAAATCAGGCTACACAAAGTATGAATTAATAGAAAATCTCATAGCATACTTACTTCTTGCTCATTTGCCTCTGATATCTTTAAAGGGAAGTTCTTCCAAACCCTTTCTCACCTTACTCAATGTTGAAAATCATTTGGACTTTTATACACATCCCAGGTTCTCAGAGATAAGACCCTATATCTTCCTTCTAGGTAGGGGTTTTGTACCACTCTGGTCTTCCCCTGAGTTAGCCACTAAAATAATTTCTTGAAGGTATTTCACAGCTTTTTCTTTAAGTTCTTCTCTCCCTTTTGATGAAACTTGAGAGTTACCAGAAAGAGAAAAAGTTATAACTATAAAATGCACCCAGCATGGATGCATGGGTGGGGATGCATAAATCTCCATAACTATCTTTTCCAATCATTGCATACAGTGCTAACGATTACTCATTTTTATATTTCTTACAGTGTTTAAAGTCTCCAAACTTGCTATTGTTCTGTAATTTTTATAAACTGACTTTTTATATGAGCTGCTCTAGGAGATGGATCAGAAATATACAAATCTCAAGGGTGTCAGAACCAAGTTTTTAAAAACACTAAAACAAAAGAGAACAAGATTTAAAATCAGATTGATAGCATGCCCGGGAATTGAAGAAGGGAAATTTCAAGAAGGGTTGTAGAGGCCCTGGCAGGGCGCTACCAGTAAAATATGACTTATCCTACCCATAGCAAATGCTTATATTTCTACTTGAAAATTCTTTGCATTTATCATAGGTATATATAGACTATAAGAAGACTTGGCAACCTTCCAATATTTTTTTCATGCCAAATTATTCCTTTTTGCTTTTTTTTAAATTAGGTCTATCGGGATGACATTGGTTAATAAGATTATATAGGTTTCAAGTGTACAATTCTGTGATCTATGATCTTCACATTGCATTGTGTGCCTATCACCCAGAGTCAAATCAGCTTCCATCACCATATATTTGACAGCCTTTACCATCTCCCCGCCCTCCTTCCCTTTGGTGACCACCATACCGCTGTCTGTGTCTATGCACTTTTGCTTCTTTTTCTTATTTGTTCATTTGTTGCTTTCAGTTTATATCCTGCACATGAGTGAAACCACATGGTTCTTAACCATTTCATTCTGACTTATTTTGTTTAGCATGATATTCTCAAGGTCCATCCTTCTCAAAAATGGCAATATTTCATCTTTCTTAAGGTTGAGTAGTATTCCATGGTATATATGCACCATATCTTCTTTATCTAATCATTTATTGAAAGACACAAAAATATACAGTGAAAAAAAGAAAGCTTCTTCAATAAATGGTGTCTGGAAAACTGGCAAGCCACATGCAAAAAATGAAACTAGACTATATATGCCCATACACAAAAATTAACTCAAAATGGATCAGAGACCAAAATATAAGACCTGAAACAATAAATTACATAGAATTAAACATAGTTACAACACTTATGGATGTTACTTAGAAAAGATTTTGTGAATTTGACCCCAAAGTAAAGGGAAGTAAAGGCAAAAATAAACGAATGGAACTATATCAGATTAAGCTTCCACACAGCTAAAGAAATCACTAACAAAACCAAAAGGCAATCAACCAAATAGAAGATATTTACAAACAATACATTTGCTAGGGCTAATATCTGAAATATATAAAGAACTTATACAACTCAACAACAAAAAAAATGCAAAAAATGAGCATAGGACCTGAACAGACACCTCTAAGAAGACATTCAAAAGGCCAACAGATGCATGAAAATATGCTCCACTTCACTAATTATTATGGAAATGCAAATCAAAACTACAATGAGACACCACCTCACACCTTTTAGAATGAGTATCAGTAACAAGACAAGTAACAGCAGGTGCTGGAGAGGTTGTAGAAAAATAGGAACCCTCATTCACTGCTCGTGAAATACAAACAGCTGTAGCCACTATAGAGAACAGTATGGAGGTTCCTCAAAAAATTAAGAACAGAATTATTATGTGACCTAGCAACCCATCCTCTTTGTATCTAGCAAAAAAAATAAAAATGGAAAACATTTATTTACCTTTCAATATTTTAAAATTAATTTTCTGGCTCAAGCCAGTTATAAACTTCTCTTATTTGAACTACGAATCTTGACTAAAATAGACAACTACTGTTATTTATGTTGAGAGAAACAATTTTGTTGATTTTTATAAAAATACCCAAAACATACAAATATGCAGGTTGTTTAGTTCTATATTACTGCAAACACATCATTTAAAATATTTGATAATTTTTTAAAGGTTATAAAAACTAACATGGGATTTAAACTCTGGGTTGTGTGAACTAAAAAGGGCATATTTACTTTTGTTATGTGTGACAATGGCCAAATATCCACCAGGTTCCTAAAGGAATCTGGGTTCCAAAGTTAGTAAGTGCTGTATTTACTTTCTACCTTCCATCATTTTATCTCTCACTCTATTTTGGTCTTCCTGATTAAGAATATGAAACATTCTCGTTGCAAAAAAAATGAGGAGGGGGAATGAGAAAAAAGAAATAAATATAAGCTTTGGTTCCCACCACTAAGAGTTAACTCATTGTTAACTCATTTACTCTATGCTCTCCAAGTATTGTTGAAGACTCTGAGAGATGGACCGATAAATAACATCCCTTAACATCCATGCTTGGGTTGGGAGTAAATTGAGCAATAAAACAGAATTTTTAAATTAAAGCTAAAATATTACTCGTGTTATTGACAGAGATCTGGTTTGAATTGATTCATCTAAAAATGAGCAACCAAAATACCAGCCTCAGTCACATGGTTCCTGGCCTCACTACCCAAGAGACCATGCATTTAAAAAAGAAGTTAAATCATGTTTCCTGAGATCCATTACTTAGAAAAAGAAGGAAGGGTAGGGGGAGTGGGAAAGGGAGGAAGAGGAGGAGAAG